CCGAGGGAGGTACGGAAGATAAGAGGGTCTTGACTGATGAACGTTATAACCTTAAACTGAGCTTGTAATACTCGTTTAAGGAAACAAATATACTGAATAATATTGTACGAATACCTCTGTCTCCTGGGATATAACCCTGTGTAGTGCAAAAGGATGCTTAAATATAATACTGTGTAGTTCGTTGAAAGTTAACGGATGCTTCGGAGGAACTTGTCGCTTCCATTCTGAGGGTTGAGAAATGAGTCAAACAAGAGACCAGCGTGAAGAAGGCAGCAAGCAGTATATAGTAAGTTCATTCAAATTAGTAAGTTTGTGTTACACGATAGTAACACCATATTTGTTTCCAATGATGTACTCTTTCGACTTCTATTCAGTGAATTTTCATTGCTACTGTGTATAAAATTTTCCAGCAACATCATTTTTAAGGTGATGAATTACTAGACCCACGCAGAATCCCCGGATGTAGAACCGCCCCTTGCCGGCTATCCACGGCTGTATTTAATATATTCGCAGCCCAATGTCCATATCTGGAGGCCGTCTCCACTACCCGCAACCTGAGGACGCGCCATGCTATGGTGAAAATGGACCAATGTACCATTGATATTTTCTTCATGAAAATTTTATCCAATACTCTTCTCTCAAGGTTAAGTCCATAGATGAACTTATTGGAGATTACCAGTGTGGGTTTCGACGTAACAGATCAACTACTGATCAATTTTTTACATTCGTCAGATACTGGAGAAGAAATGGAAGTACACGTATAATTAGACAGTACATAAGCTCTCCATAGACTTCAAGAAACCCCATGATTCAGTTAGGAGGAAAGTATTATACAGTATTCTGATAGAATTTGGGATACACATGAAACTGGTTAGGATTTTTGAATGCATTTGAATGAAACCCATAATAAAATCCTTACAGGTGAAATATTTGTCCTATACGTTTCTTATTCAAAATAGCCCAAAACAAGAATGTTATTTATTGCCATTGTTCCTCAACTTTTCCTTAAAAAATTCCTTTAGGACGGTACAGGAAAGCCAGGTGGGACTGAAATTAAACGGGACACATCAGCGTCTGGTCAGTGCTGATGATATTAATCTACTAGGGATAATACGAGAGTAAATATCATAGAAAAACATTGAAGCTCTAAACGACGCTAGTAAGAAGCTTGGTCTAGAAGTAAATACAGAGAAAACTATATGTTGCTGTCTCGTCAACAGAATGCAGGGCAAAATCATGACATAAATACATGAAACCGGTTAAATATTTGGGAAGAACAGTAATAAATCAAAATTTGATTCAGGAGGAAATTAAGAGAAGATTGAATTCGCGTAAAACTTGCTACCATTCGGTTCAGAACTTTCTGCCTTCTCGTCTGCTACCTAAAAACGTAAAAACTTGAATATAAAATACTATAATTTTGCTTACGGTGTGAAACTTTGTGTCTGATATTCATGAAAGGANAAACTTGCTACCATTCGGTTCAGAACTTTCTGCCTTCTCGTCTGCTGCCTAAAAACGTAAAAACTTGAATATAAAATACCATAATTTTTGCCTACGGTGTGAAACTTTGTGTCTGATATTCATGAAAGGGCAGAATATTTGGACCGAAGAGGGATGATATAGGAAGCTGAAGAAAACTGCGTAACGAGGAGTTTCACAACTTAGACTTTTCTGCAAATAGAATTAGAATTATTAAGTCAAGGATAATGAGATGGAAAGTGTTTGTAGCACGCATGGGGAGGAGCGGAATATATACAGAATTCTGGTGGAAAAGCCAGAAGGAAAGAGAAGACTAGCAAGTCCTAGACGTACGTGGGAGGATAATATTAAAATAGTTCTTAGAGAGATAGGAAGGGATCGCGTGGATTGGATTATTCTGACTGAGGATATGGTTCAGTGGATGGCTCTTATGGACACGGCAATAAACCTTCAGGTTCCATGAAATGCTGGTAAAGTATGTAGTCTATGCACAACTGGCGGCTTCTCAAGAAGGGCTCAGTTTCATGAGCGAGTTACGTGAAACCTTGTTGTGTAGGCAGCCTGACGGACGAAACGTCCTCTGTAGGTATGTCTGAATTTTCCCGCCAGAAGTCTGAATACCGGCAGTAAGTTGGAAAGATAACCTAACAAATTTCTGTGATGACGAAACTACGCAAGTCACTAAATGACCATGACCCAACCTCGTTCCCCTAGTAAAGAAAGTTTATAAGGGCCATTAATCTGCTCCCAGTAATAAAGCTTCAACGCTTTTGTTTGCCTCAAATGCTGTGTTTGAAATGGAACTACCGGCCATGTTTCAGGCGGTATTGTTTCCAACTTACACGCGGAAGGTTTCATGTTCGAATCTCGTAACGGACGCGATCAGAACTGATATACTTTCGTGGCTTTCCCCAGTCACTCTGGGAAAACACCGGCATATTGCCTTCAGTTAGGCCACGACCGCTTCCTTTCATATTGTTTCCGATTCAGTATCCTTGGACGCTGTATAATTTGCATTGCTGACAGTGTCCTTAAACAAGCTACAGTTCATTAAAGCACAGAAAAATGAAACGTTTTCTGTGAAGTTGTTCGGGTAACTTAAATAATAACCTAATGGAAAACTTGGCTACTTTGCGTAATGAAAGCCCATATTACAAGTCTTGGAACGCATAGATTTGTTGAGAAGCCATTCCCTCAGCCTGATCCTAGCGTGCATAACAACTCCAGCATGCTACGCTATCCAATTGAAACTTGCGTATATGACAAGATCAACTGCAACATAAACTGCAAGACAATGGTTACAAATGACCAGGTTATTAAACGACTTAAAGATTGGAACGCATTCGGCGGTTTGGGGAGTTTCATAACGTGCGGTGTTCATATACGTAAAACTGCTAGGACGATTGTGTCGAGGTGCATGATCGTAGGGTCAGCTGTACCACGCATAGGAGAGGTAAGAAATTCAATACATATATTTTAAGAGAGGAGCTTATCATGTATGTTATAATTTGGAAGCAGATCTCATTTCGTGTATAAATGCTGAAATAATAATTAACAGTTGATGAAAGTATGTTAAGTACTTAATATCTAACTAACTCCGTGGCTTTATTATGCAAGCGAACTATACCGACCGAGCGACCTCCGCTGGTCGGCGAGCGAAATATTAGGTTCTCTTTCTCACGTCTTTTTTTTTATATAAGATATTATGCTAGAAAATTGGAGAAAATATGGTCTCACACTTTTCATATAAACAGTTTCAGGTTTCCTCTAACAGAATCCACAGGGGGCTATTTGTACATTGTGAAATAAGCTATATTTCATGAACGCAAAAGGAGCACAAATATTTTCCACTTTCAGAAAAACAAATTATGGAATTAGAGAAGTGTTTAGAGCGGCAAGTGGTCTGCATGGAGACCATGAATAGAAGAGGTGGGTCGGTTGTTTATGCTAAGCGAATAGCCGTAATGCTCAGTCGGTATATTGCGTAGTGTAAGGGTTCGGCCTCACAGAGCGCTACGCTATATTCGCTACGTACGCTGTGTACACTCTGCGACGCAGGTAACATAGGTAACATAGCGTACGTAACGTACGGAAGTCTGTGTGGCCAGTCACATTGGCAATAAAGGGAGATATTTTTCTGTTCGTATAGCGAACATAGCGTTCGTAGCGTGCGTCGCGTACGTAGCGCTCTGTGTCGCCGAACCTTAAGATCTGGAAGACCGGAGATTCCGAGTTGGAATCGCAGCAATGGCTGAGATTTTGTTCTTCAACCACAGCCTCCTAACTTACAACTTTCCTCGGATAGTGGCCTTAGAAGGACGTTGACCACACTCTTGCACTTATTGTTGAAGGCCACGAAAAACTGGATATGTATATACATATATAGTATATACTATACACCTCTAAATAGAGGCCAAGGCTAGTACTTAGCTGTAGTGACAAACATTTGCCATTTTATGGGCTAAGAGAGGGGCAGTGATGTTGATATAAAAATTAATGATTTCAATAATTTAATGGAACTACAAAACTGAAATTACTGGGAAAATGCCAAAAGTAATCTCCACTAAAATTCTATGGGATAATGGCAATATTATTATCTATGCTTTCACGTCGATTGGAATATTGGACATTATCGAAAGAATAAATGAAATGGCTGGGGTTCATATGTCGCCATTCGTTCACTGTATACATATTGAGCTGTTGAAGGAGATTTCATCGCTACATATCACGAGAGGTCATCACATTTAACTACAGGTCCCCTGCATTTCTTCTGTCCGTCATTCGAGGTCTCCGTTGTTGAATCATGGGCTTTTGACCTCCAGGAAACGGTAAACCAAAGTTAAGTAGCATAGACAGAGCACTACCCTCCCCAGGATTTTCATAAAACAAGATGATGATAATAATAATAATAATAATAATAATAATAATAATAATAATAATAATAACAACAACAATAATAATAGTAGTGGCTCGATGAAAATAAACGTGTAATATACAAACAACAATTTTAATAATTACAAAAATGAATAAACAATAACAATACAACAGAGGCGTGATACAAAGAGAGTAGGCCCTGATATATCTGGAAACTTTCCACTAACTTTTTTTTATTGCTAGTGGGGTGGGACTAAGACCCTTGTACTGCGACCACTTCTGGCCTATTGTACCAGCCCCAGATGATAGGTGAGGGTGATTGTGGTACAATTGGTGGAATGAAGATTGGCAGGGGAAACCGAAGTACTCGGAGAAAACCTGCCCTAGTGCCACTTTGTCCACCACAAATCCCACTTGACCAGACCCGGGATCGAACCCGGGCCGCCACGATGGGAAGCTAGCGACTATTCGCTTGAGCTATGGCGCAGCACTTCCACTAGCCTTGGAACGGTTTCAGTAAACACTGCGACAGACTGCAGAAGGAAAGATCAAGAAAAGCAAACAATGGAAGTAACACAACTACAGATAAACAGTATGGCGGGTAGGCCCGTGACCTAAGGTTAGATGATCATAGTAAAACAAACCTGGCGGAATATGCAGAGGTGAATAAGGCCGAATCTAAATACCGGACACACAAGCCAAATCCGATTTTTAAGAAGGAAACACTTCCAAATCACCGACCACTTAGCGGCCCCCAGGGACCTTAGACCGCGAACAAGGCAACAACCACCCCAAGAACTGAATTCCGAATGTCAACCAAGGACTTGCGCAGGCAACGAATGGGGTGGGGATGTGTAGGAGAATAGCTAGGTTGGAGAGGGGGGTATGAGAGGCCACGAGTTGTTGCAAAGTAGGTAGTACAGTGACTCTAGCACATGTGCTTTTGCTGAACCTTCAAATGACTAACTACGTAACGTTGGCCGCGCCATAGCTAAAGCGGTTAGTCGCGGCGGCCCGGGTTCGATCCCGGCTCTGGTCAAGTGGGATTTGTCGTGGACAAAGTGGAGCTGGGGCAGATTTTCTCCGAGTACTTCGCGTTTCCCCTGCCAATCTTCATTCCACCAATTGCTCCCTCACCTATCACCTGGGGCTGGTACAATAGGCCAGAAGTGGCCGCAGTACAAGGGACTTAGTCCCACCCCACTGGCAATAAAAAGAACTATGCAACGTTCTGACAGTAGCGTACATAGGTTCAACACAGCTATTGCCAGACCCCATCAGATGCTATGGCCCTGAGGCAGAATTACTAGCCGACCATCTTCAAAACCTAAATCCCTAAGATCTATCAATTGTGGCGCGCCGCCAGGAATCCGGAATGTTTGAGATCAGGGTTGATTTACTAGGCAACGACCAGCATTCCCGCTGAATCGGAACTCATCCATTGCTATACAGCGGCTAGTAATCTAACAGTTGAGTTCCACCGTTATACACGAATTGTTCGAGACGGTTGCATGAAAACGGCTAGGAAAATTCCTAGCAACGAGAGAATACGCAACCTAACTAGTGAAGTTACGGCTTCAACGAAACAAAACACTAGCTACCGGCGGAGAGAACACGTGAAACGGGATCTTTGAACAAGGTGCCTTAGAATACGTCCGACAGTACGGTATAAAGGAAGACCAGGTCGGAATTGAGACCAGATTACAGCGAGTGTTGAAGAGATTGGCCAGTAAACATATTCGCCAAATCTGAGACCCGCGTTATATAGGCAACACGCGACACTATTATATGCCTCACTAATTTCTCTCTCTCTTTACGTCTTCCGAAATATTCCTGCATTACAATTTTGTATATGTTTATTATCTCCCATCCCAGCCATGTGTCCATCCACCTTCATATTATCGTGGCTACAGTAAACAGTTTAAACTGTGTAACGTCCTTACTGCTCACTTTCTTTGCTCTTCATAAATGTAAACATTTTCTTAAGCACTTACGTTCCAAATGTTCATGTTTCTCCCTTGAAGTAAGAGACCTCGTGCACTCACGCGATGGAGCGGAATTTGTTCAGGGCTGGCCAAAAGGAGCTGCATTCTCTGTCCATGGCCACTGTAACCTTCTCTTTATCTTCAGAACTATTGGCTTTTTGGCCTTTGTCCACTCTCTGGTGTTATAGAAACGCAGAGAACACGACGTTTCGGGAACTGCAACTGTTTCTGTCCTCAAGTGACGGGGGAGACACACAATTCTCTTCTACTTAGAACATTTTCAAATAATGCAGCAAATAAAGGATCGCTAAATAAACCGGAAATCTTAATTTGTAGTTGAAGCGCCTCATTATAATCCTTTTATATTAACATAATTTATATTTTCGGAAAGCTACAACTGTCGGAGCCTCTCGCCTTTCGGCCTTTTATCAGTTTAATAAATCGATATATTTTACGAATGCTACAAGCTGGGGAGTTGCGGGGTTTGAGTCCCAGTGAGGTTATTGGATTTTTCAATTGACCTAATCCTTCCACCCGCACCATGACCTTGTTGTCGACACAGCATGCAAAAGAAATGAGTATCAAAAATCTTCCTCGGGTGCGAAGGTTGGCCGGCGTGTAAAGCTGACAACCTCACCGCCATCTGTGAAGAGATTTTCTAGATAAATGTGAGAACTTCGACGTCTCACAACCCTATGGGCCTCCACGGCCTCTAACAACAATAGCTTTACTTTTTTGAAAGTCTGTTACGGATTATAAAAGGAATTTTTCTCAATTGCTGCCTCTATGCACTTAGATAAACCAAGCAATAGAATCTGCAACAAAGAACTGCGCACGCCTCGTGCTAGTTAACACATGTGCTTGTTTTAAGTATCCTCGATTGAGATTGGTTTCATTTAATCAACAGCTGACGTTTATTCCGAAGTGAATGGGTTACAATAAATCGTCAGCACTGTTGCGTGTGGTGCTGTTGCCGATTAGCACACGTTTACATCCAGCAATCAGTCAGGACATAATGTGCTCCACGTCCATACGGCTTGGTTTCGGGACGATATCATCTCTCGTGACCTTTGCAAGCAAAAGTAACAGCCGGCTACTGACGAGAGGAAAAGTGCTTGAAGCGAAAGGGGTAAATGCAACAAGGGGATTAGTACTTGTAGAAATATAATCATTTACGTCAGCCACAAACGAAAAGTGGAATTGTTGGTCTCTAGCGCACTGCTCGCGTTTCAACCTGCTTTGTTGCATCTACAGGCGAACACAGGGCTCAAGAAAGATTACGAAACTGAAGAAGAGGCCTAGGCCCAACAAAGGGCTCTAGAGCTATTGATGAATGAATGAAATACGTATCAAGAGTATAGTATTCTGCAATATAAAACCATTTAGTTCAGAGACAACCAGACGTTTCGGAAGAATGTCGTATCCATCTTCTGTTTCGAAAAATTGGCGAAACAGAAAACCAACCGAAGCAGTCGGCAAGCTTAGCTTCTGCCGCTTTCTTTTGCATTGTTTGCTCTTTGATCATGAAGATGGAGGATATATATTGTTCCGAAACGTCAGATTGTCTCCGAACTACAGGGTTTTAGAACCAAGAAGCGCGCACTCTTCACGGTCACGTCCGTGAGAACCACAAACCGAGCACATGTTTGAGTACCAATGTGTCCGCTATCTTTCTCATTAAACATTCGACCAGTTTACTGATTCTGAAACAAATGAATATTACGAGAGGCCACTGAAATCTGTACTCACAAATTTCTAGCCTGAAATTAAGCAGAAAATGGCGAGCATGCCAACTACTCGGGTGGGATATAATATTAGCACAAGGCGTGGGAAAAAGTTGTCAGAAACATGGAAACTCCTTTGTAACATTCTTGCGGAATGCAAATTACTAGCAACATGGCGGCCTTCCGAAATATATATTAGCTTTCGGTTTGAATCTGATAGCTCCTGAACGTGTTACAAGCTGTTCTGTATGGAAACAGACGACAGAAATACGTACGACATTTTGCATAATATTAAATTGCAGTATCCTTGCGCTGCGTGGTTCTGACTTTGTGTTCACTTTTTTGCCTCCTGTATGTAGCGTCGTTTAATATCCTCTTACAGTTTCATCTTTATTGTCACTACATGTTAATGGGCAGGGAATATAGCACGAATGGGGAGAGGAAGAATGCATATAGGACATTGGTGGGAAAGCCGGAAGGAAAGAGACCACTGGGAAGACCAAGACGTAGGTGGGTGAACAATATTAAAATGGATCTTAGAGAGATATGATGGGATGGTATAGATTGGATTGATCCGGCTTAGGATAGGGAGTAGTGGAGGGCTCTTGTGAACACAGTAATGAACTTTCGCGTTCCATAAAATGCCGGGAACTTCTTGAGTAGCTGCACAATTGGCAGATTTTCAAGAAGAGCTCAGCTCCATGAGTGAGTGAGTGTCACTACATGTTTCTGTCTAACCGGCCATCATCAGGTGGACAGGTTGTTCTGATGAAGGGCTCTGTTGCTAACTGTAATGCTGTTCTGCTTTTCTTATGTGGTTGTCTCGGCTTTTTGTTTATGTGGGCAACCAGCTGATTTATCTAGGTGTCCTTGAACAATTTCTATGCATGTGTTTCAAATGATTCAAGGACTCCCAACTAAATCAGCTGGTTGACCCACACAACCTAAACTAATCCGAGGCAACTACATAAGAAAATCAGCACAACATTGCAATGAGCAGCCGAGTCCTTCATCACAACAACCTTTACGCAAGATGGCCTGTTAGGTCGAAATAAGTAAATGTATCCCTGCAGCAGGCCGTGGAGAGCCATAGGGCTGTGAGACGTTGAGGGTCCCACATTATCTAGACAATCGGCTCAAAGATGGCGGTAAGGTTGTCAGCCTTACGCACCGGCCGCGCTTTACTCCCCAGGAAAATTATTTAATTAATTCCTGGTACTCATTTCTGTTAGAGGCTGCTTAAGCCCCAGAGCCTAGTGCGGCTGGAGGGATCAGGTCAGTTGAAAAAAATCTAATTACCTCATCGGGACTTGAACCCGCGACCTTCCGTCTTGTAGCATAGTGCCTCAACCAACTACGCTACTGCGTAGCAACTATAAACAGAAAAATGTGAGAGATATTATTCGACGTTGCACACAGACGGCAAGGGAAAGCGGGACGCACAGTGAAATATTCTGCATTTTATTTTTATAATTCAATTGTTTCGGCACGTGGAGGCGGCACGAATCCATGATGATATGCTCTTATTTCAACGTTTAGCGTAGTCGGATTCAGTGCCACTGATTACATCGCGTCTACGAGAGAGTACACGGCTTATGGACCGTTACTTCCGACGCCGACGCCCGCCCCCACATAGTCACATTTCCCCTTTTGGCACGGACGCAATCTTTATTCTACAAGATGTGTGGCAAAATAATTTTCAATTATCGCACTGACGAGGGTTTCGATAATAATACTCCTAATTACATTGTCACTATACCTGGAATACTGATGTAGTAGTGGCAATCTAGACCGTTTCCTTGATGTGCTGGGTTCGAATCTCAACCGGGACACAGGGAATCGTGACTGAGGATGCGTTTAATTATACTGTGACATATTTCTTCAAAGCAATTGCATAGATTGCGTAGCATTAAAAGCACGCTGATTGTGGTTGGTAAATTAAAAGAGATCTATACAGACCTGGTCCTGGCATATTAAAAGAAAGACCCGTCAAAGCGGTTGTCAGGAGTGACTGAAGAAAACCACCAAATATATCAGAGAAAAGTCGGTCTTAGGATCCAGGATGATAAATTTTGTGGCCAGAATTAAACTTTGTCGACGATATTTAATTTGAAATAGAGTAAAAATTTCCTCTAAATTTGTCATGCAAATCCGTAGGAGGGAACATGTGGATGGGCGAACAGACAGATACGGTCTTCAAGTTTTGTTTTTGAAGCATTTTGTATAAATGATCCATAAGAAATTCCACAGTATCGATTGGTATCAAGAGTGAAGAGAGGGAGAGACAGTAAAAATGCCTGGTTGCTTATCGTAAATAAACCGTTGTTTTTGCTTTCCAGATTCACACGAATTGGTTGGAGGAGGCAGCACAGAGCGGTATCCTGGATCGAAAAATTCTGGTCACCTGGACTACGGGAAACCGAGAGGGAGTGGCAACAACGATCCCGTGTTCGATAACAATCTTGTTACAAACGTGACCGCGCAGTTGGGAGCGTCAGCCTTCCTGCACTGTCGCGTGAGAAACCTCGGAGAGCGGCCGGTAAGTGCCACAGGCAGTTGCACTTCCTCTCCCCTTGCATTTTGTCACGTGAGTGAGTCTAGACGGGGTTCTTGTTGGTAACCGCATTTATTGGACACTTACAGAACGTAACTACAAATAACTACGGCAGCCTCACAGAATTACACACTCCAAAAATCACTGTATCTACAGTATACATAAGATCTTCTCGGGCTTCACTGTCCGTTGCTTGGTAGCTGCTTCCAATGGCAGACATTTCCTTTCTGCTGGTTTTCCGAACTGTCCTCCACCAACTTCTCACAACTGCAATTCTCAACTGATTCAACTGTGGACGTTTCTCTGCTCCCGTGCCCACATCCTCGCAGGCCGCCGGCCACCTCACACCAACTTCCTACTTTCTAACTGCTGTCTCAAGACTGCCTCATAATGGCACCTGGTCCTCGTTATATAGNGGACGTTTCTCTGCTCCCGTGCCCACATCCTCGCAGGCCGCCGGCCGCCGGCCACCTCACACCAACTTCCTACTTTCTAACTGCCGTCTCAAGACTGCCTCATAATGGCACCTGGTCCTCGTTATATATTCCCGGCAAGGACCGCATAGAAAAGTCTCTTCCATTATTGCATCTTCTCTCGTTGCCTAGGAAACCTATCCAGAGAGCTGTTCCCTAGCAACGGCTGTTGGACTGTCGCCTGTTAGCACAGCTATTATTTGGCAATGGATCTACATGTCACAATATGTATTTTTACACATTTCTTCACAGTCAACTTTCTAGGTCACGTGTCCCACAGTGCTGAAGTGAGATATATGGGGGCAATCACGGAGAGACAAAGATATAACGGTATTTTATGAGTTAATGATGTGTTCAAAGCTTACAAAGAATGAAGGAAACAAAGGAAAATATCCGTCGGTATATACAGCTCCACAGCCGCGTTTCAAACAGGACAGCTGCCGACACAGACAGCCGAGCAGACATGATCGTGCTCGGAGCTGAACCTAGCCCCCTGAAGTGCATTTATAAATGGATGTGTGTAATCGTGGAGCTATTAGATCAACCATGGAAAGCTGCCGACCTAATCCTAGTGCATTGTTCAGCAGTCCTGTACATTGAACTGCCTCTGATGTCTATTTATTTTGCAGATATAAATCTGATGTTTACAGAGCACAGGGGTGTGACGTCACACTGGCAGTAGTATAATAGCTCATCAACGCCGTTCAGTCTGGTTGATAAATCATTTTCCTCTAAAGATAAGAAGTAAAATTAACAAGAACCAAATTGGTTCTAGATTTTAACAAAGTTTTTTAAACCATACTTGTAAATAGACTAGTTGTAATGATTTATAAATGTTTTAATAAATTCAGGCACATCGGTGTAATTGTTAAAGGCAATATTTTATATTCATGACGTTGTAATGGTGGTGTCTGTATGTGTTGGTAGTGAACAGGGACACTGTACAAGTAACAGTGGTTTCCTCATGTATTGATATGTCCTGAAGATGGTTGCTCCGACCGAAACATGTAAAGGATGAAGCATTAAAAATCAATCACACTGGACGAAGCTGATGATCTTTTATGTACATATTTTTTTTTCTTGTCACCAGAGCCCCAATGGGCATAGGCCTACCTCCATGAACTTCTCCCTTCACTTCGGTTTTTCCTAGATCTTACATATTCGGTTGGAATTCTTGGGCGGGTGATCAGCTCGCCGCAAGGCCTCTACCTGTACACAAAGAAAGAAAAACGCACACAAACATCTATGCCCTAAGTGGGGTTCGAACTCACGATCCCGGTTTCCGAGCGAGCGAAGACAGTGCATGCCTTAGACCGCTCGGCTACCGTGACCGGCTGATCTTTTATATTAATGATATAAATTTGTCCTTGATTTCCTTAACAAAAGTGAAGTTTTCCTTGCTTTCACTTAACTAAACACTATGCCATGGAACATACTGGGAAGTGGAGGTCCTATAGCTCCACCATTCTTGACCTCGGCATTAAATGAAAGTGAGTCATCAGCTTCAAATCCGGGCGACTTTACCCTCCAAGGTAAAATCCCCCGTTACCCATTCCCTTATTGAAATTTATATATTACACGTAAATGGATTTATCGTTGTGGGTCTCATTGTGTCCTCCCTTTCGACATTTGAAGCAGTCGAACTGTTTTCACGGTATTACTATTGAATGTTTTGACAATGGAGGCCAATTCGAATCCACATTACTTTCAGTTAGAAATAAGGCGCAAAGTAATGAGGTGGGGAGAGAATATAGCTGCTTAGTTTGGGGCCTGAAATAATATGTGGCCTTAGAGATCTGAAAAACACATAACGTAAGTTTAGCCAAAACAGGTGTTCATACAATATCAAATAACAACATGGCGGCTGCGCGATTCTTTGCGTTAGCTTTCCGTTTGGTTGCCATAATAAATACAGCTGTGTAACCAGCGTGTGGCATTGGTTACAGCGGCTCCACGTAAACATCTGGTGAGAGAAATTCTTACAAGTCAACAATAAAATTCATGGCGCGATTCGAAACTTTGAAGTTATTTCCGACAAATGTAAAGTCTTCAAGTGACCGTAAATTCTATAGACTCTAGCTGTCATGGCCGTGGGACTGAATTCAGTTTCCATATGTTGGTTTTCACTTCCTCTTCCGTAGTCTCGCGACAAATATATTAAAACTCACCACCGCTTGGAGCTGCCACGCGAAGTCGCTATTCCCGTGAACTTTGCTCAGCCGCGCCACAAAAACAACACTCCCTCCCTCTGCTTATCTGCATTATCACTGGTGACGCAGAAATTAAATATGATTTATATTATGCCAACGCGAATTTCTATGTAGAATACATGAACACACCAGGTTGGCCTGGCTGTGACTCTCTGGATATATGTTCGGGAAAAGCTTGGTTCGAATCCCGGAACTGACATCGGATATTCTGACTTGTTAGCAGTTTTTCTCAGTCCTTCCAGGCAAATACCTGTACTTCGAATAGGCTACAATCGCCTCTTATTAAATCCTTTCCAATTCACAAATTGCCCTACCATCTGATACTGTGTTGATAGTAACAGAGCCGTAAAATGAACCTCAGACGGGCACACGTCCCTCGACAAAAATTTAAAATCTCACCCTAAAGAAGTCTGTGGTATATATCACAATTTAGGAAAAGAAAAAGATGCTTACTATGTACTCTATACATCTTCGTATCGATGGCGCACTTTTAAATAAACCTCGTAATATTGCTGAGGCATTTTCGAAACTTTTTCTATCGGTCTACAATTATTTTTTGCTGTAGAAACTTTTCGTCGATTAATCAATGTACTGAAATGTTATCCCCCGTCTCCTGTTTCAAACTCCGTTGCTCAAAATGCTATATAAAGCCTGCGGCCATCGAAATCAATCGGCCTCGACGTCATACCGACCTCAGGTATAGAGTCGCTCTGGAATTCTTGTACCTGTTGTACCTCTTGTACAACCGCTACTACTACTACCACTACCACTACCACTACCACTACCACTACCACTACCACTACTACTACTACTACTACTACTACTACTACTACTACCACCACCACCACCACCACTACTACCACCACTACTACTACTGGCCGTGGAGGCACATAGGGTTCGGAGACGTCGGGTTGTGAGATATCATGGCTCCCACATTATCTAGACAATCGGCTCACAGATAGCGGTGAGGCTGTCATCCTTACGCGCTGCCCGCTCATTACCCCCAGGAAGATTCCTGGTACTCATTTCTGTTAGAGGCTGAGTCGACCCCAGGGCCATAGTGCGACCGGAAGGATTAGGTCAATTGAAAAAATCCAATGGCCTCATCGGGATTCGATTCCGCGACCTTCCGGCTTGTGGCGTAGTGCCTCAACGGCTAGAATGACTACTAGTAGTATTAGTATTAGCAGTAATGGTAGTAGTAGCAGTTCCATTTTTAGCTACATCTGTCCTTTTGCTTACTGTGAAACCTACCCCGTGCATGCGCCCTTCCAGGTTTAAGTACGCAACCTTCTGTGTACGTGTTCCACTCTGAATCCGATATATGCCGCCGTCACTCTGCCCCCCAGCTGCAGTAGGGGCACTCACAGGGGTCTCCTGCTTCCCGCAGGCCTCACCACGAAAGGTTCAGCACCTCCAGTCTCACACCATCATCTGACATGACGTACGGTGTCAGATCCAGCTGACTACACAAAAGGCTTTCTCCATTTTCTGAACTTGAAAATCGTCATTGTAGATAGAATATAATTTAAAATGTTCTGCAAGGCGACAAAAACACGAGCGCGCTTCTCCGGAAGTACGCTTAATGTCGATTGTAAACATTTCCGTTCCCTGCAGACATTATCTTTCTCATTCATGAGTCTGACTGTATTTGGTGTTTGGAAGGCCAGTGATCGAGACGTCTTGTTCAGTCTCTCAACAATTAGATTTCTTGGCTGCTCAGTATTAGAAGTTAAGCGTTGCCATGGGAGCACACTAACAATACAGTATACTGAGGCGTATAGACCCGTCTCTAAGCGGCGACTCAGTAAACAACAGAAATTGATATGCAATAAGCGAATAAAGAAACATCCGTTTCTATGCAACGGTCGAGGTATCTTTGGACTATAACAATGGAGACGGTGTTTTCTATGTGGTTCGTGCCGAAATATTTAAAGCATAGTCAGTCGAGTTCTGAAATTCAAATTGTCAGCAGTTCAGTTGAGTGCGGTGAAGTAGTTGGTTGGTAGGTGAGAGAGATTTTGGTTTTTATTACTTTTAAGAATACAATATATTGTCACGTGTTGGGTGTGTCACGCGAGAAATAACTTTACATGGGCCTCGGATTTAGCGAATCTTTATTGGACACTCAATCTTGCACACCTTACAATTGTTATCGCTTCAACTGTATCCCGCGGCGGCTATCTTCCAACTGTCCCTGACCGTGGCTGGATCCCAACAGCCTTCGGCGACTGCTATCCCAATACTGACTCGGCGAATGCATTACCTTGTTATATATCCGCAGCCGTTGCTACGCAGTGAACCTTCTGTTGTCTATCACCGGGGAAATGCGGCTTCGTTGATTCTGCAATTCCTACGCAACGGCCCACTGTTATTGCGTTACCATTGAAGTATCTACTCCAAACACGTTACATTATTATAACTGTGTTTTAACAATGTTTTCATGGAAAACAATTTAATCCAATTATCCGAACTTTATTTGTCGCTAATTAATTCGGATAATTGGCGTTATACTGTACAATCCTGCAGGGAGGAACCGAACACTTTGAGCCCAACAAACCCGCCACTTCATGCAGTGGAATGACGAGTGTATCTGGACACTCAGACCTGTCAGTAAGGTCTTCAGGGGGTCAATGTGACCTATGGGACTGGCTGGTCCTACCGACCAGAAATCTGGATTCCTGCCCCACATTGGAACACAAATATTACACCCTTGGGAAGGATCAGTTACGTTGACGCAAGTCTGGTGAGTTGGGTGATTAAATCACGTATTTCCACGCATTCCCTATGGAGCTGTGACGCTTGGCCGAGCTGTGGGGTCTAATAATTCCCAGTAGGGAAGCAAGCATCTCTGATCTTTTTTCTTCCTGTCCCCGTTAACAGATGACTGCAGATATGTCGATTCGGTATGGTTACCTTTAAAGGTGAAGGAAAACTACGTTAGGTTTCCTCGTGTTCTGATAAGCAAAGTTGTTCCTCTGCTTAATTAATTAAGCACCACACTTTCAAAATGTATTGGGAAGTCGAGGTATACCTCCCTTCATTTTTAACTTTCCACAATGGACAGAAGTGTGTGGTCAGCAAAGTGACCTGTTTTTCCATGGGGAAAAAGCCCCCGGGGCCCATTGTATAGGACCCTAGAGCCGACCTGGAGGCTATAGAAAAGAGAGAAAATGTCCCTGTCGATAATTGAACCCGATTCATGACCGTGATAGCCTGAAAGTCCAGAACCGAAATTTGAGTATAGAACTTAAAATATTTCTTGCTTGTTTTCTTTCTTAAAAAAATACCCGAGAACATGGCAGCTGCGCGAAACACTTATTCAGCTTTTCGTCTGATAGAAGTTAATAATGATTAAGGCGCACTGATTGTATTCACGTTAAGTTTTCCTTAGGCGGTAGACGCTCCTTGTGTAAGTTAACTGCGTGCTAGCATTAGCTACATCATGACGGTCGGAAAAGTTTGAGGTTGCAAGATTTGATATATTGGGAATCTGCACCTACTGACATGCCTGGCGATGAATTTGGTCATTAAACTGAAAAGCTTTTAATTTATAATTCCTCTGTCCTCTGTAACCCACGTGTAACAATTTAAAAAAAATGTTGGTGTATACTACAAGTTCTTCAGATAAATTTTTGTTTAAATATTTATAATATTTCCTTAAGCATTTTCGTGACTATTAAGATTCATGTATTTTTTTAGCATATATATTTTTAATTTTGTCGCCCTTCAAAGAATGTTACACATAATTCCTCTATAATAGCATCAATGATAACATTAGTTTTACAGTAATTTGCTGGAACGTTAAATTCCCCCCGGGACTGTGCATCAGATGAATACGTAGGCCACATCTCTGATATAATTTTTCCTTTAGATGTTATATAATTAGCCCCACACTTGAGACGCCTTAAACGCCCCAGCTTCTGAATGACTCGAGGTATTCATTAAAGTGTCTCGCCTCCTCAGAGAAGCCATGTTGATGTTATACGTAGAAACGAGATGGAAGTTTATCTCAGAGAAATGGAATATAAACAGCGGAGAAAATTGTTTCCTTATTTACTCATATTATATGAAATATTCATTATGTCTCTTTATCATTATTATTTTCTCAGTCGCCCCCACAAGTTGGCTTTTTACGCTTTATTCTGTGGAAGTTTCATTTTAAAGAGGCCTTATTACTTTTACGCTTCTTCTTAAGAACTGCATAAAGCAGAACTCGTAATTCCATCTGTCCCCTTTTCCTACACATGCTTTCTTTCTTGCACTAGTGAAGACAACAGCACAACGCACAAGCAAGGGGCTTATTGCAGACGTAACAAAACAACGGGCTAATTGACAGAAAAACAAGCTGCAGAAACAAACTGGAATATCACATAGCTCCTTAAACAAGTGGACGACGCCCCTTATGAGGTGGAATAGGATTTTACGAAAGATGTCAATAGAAAAAAAATTAATGAATTTTAAATAATTATTTATGTTATTTTAAGTGGACTGCAACGCGCGTTTTTAGTGCGCATCAAAACAGTGTAACAGTTTTGATGCATTGTAACACCTGAGGATGACCGTCTGCGGCCGAAACATGTTGTGTTAGTGTTAAATGATGAATATTTCAATGGCTGTTGCATTATTGACGTACTTAATACATAAAAATTTAATTAAAGATGTGCAACAGAATGCTGAAATACTAATTACAAGTTGTGTTTGTGTTTATTATTATTATTATTATTAATTTTTTTCTGCAAATTGGGTGGACACCCGGTGGAAGTAGATATTACACTGATACAGACAAGGAAAGACTATACATAAAGGGAACAATACAAAACAAAATACATGCAATAAACAAGGTACATACAGTGCAAATTCAACATATTAAGTCATACAAGGACAAGTGATTCTATTTGTTTCACTGCACTCGAACAAGGATACTTCACGTTACTTCACCTATGTCCATTCAAACTCCGCCTAAGGCCTCTATATTTGTAACAGCTTGCCTAAACTTCTTTCTAAAAGTCTTTAATTTACAGTCATAAAGTTAATCACCAAACAAATCTGCATCAACAAATCCTATTGTTTCATATTTCTTGTAATTCGCTAAATTTTTCTATCACAGAAAGTCATAATTAGAAGTTAGGCAGAAACGAGTCGCGAATGTCTAGGTGCGAGTACAGGCACACGCAGATAACAGAACATTTTTGTTATCCACATTTTACAGATTTCCGTATTTGTTGATCTGACCATGTCACCTGATGAACACTTACGTTCGAAACATGTGCTTGATGAACGAACGAACGAATTCCGTGGCCTGTAGTGCGCAAGCAAACTATACTGACCGAGCGACCGCCGTTTGTCGGCGTAGTTACTGCAACTTTAGCGGATAGAGGGTGTCACGTGGTTAGCGAAACGAATCCCCATGGCCGTTAATTTCGGTTTTCTAGACCTGAGCCGCTATTTCCTTGAAATAGCTCCTCAATTATCCTCACGAGGCTGAGCGGACCCCGTTCCAGACCCACTATTTCTCAGAAAGTCTGGTAGCCCCGGGAATCGAACCCGGGCCTCCGGATCTGTAACCAGGAACTCTGACCACTAGATAGTAACACAAAACAAGGAAACACTTCAGTGGAAACGTTTTTTAACCGTTAATCGTGTGACGTAAGGTGTTTCGTTAGAAGCACAGGGACTATAAATCCTTTCGAAGTGTCCGATGAGTCAGCAGAATTGACCAATCAGTGTACAGGACACACGATTGTTCACACTTGTTTCATGACCTGAAGAGTGTGACGTCGCTGTTGGGCCACCATGCTTGGTGCACCGTCAAGCCATTACCTTCCTCGTTGCCTGAATAAAACCATATACATATACGTTACAGAGAAAGCTAGCATGATCACGGTGCATTAGGGCTGCTTGTACGAAGCACACTGGTGCCATCTGTTGTCATTAACAAAACATCAGTATAACCGTGTACTCTAACGGGGTAAACATGCAGATTAGTTCTAATTTTCACCCTTGTATGGTCTTCATTGTCATTTATTTAGCTTACGAATTAACTTCTTTTCTGTTTTTGTCTTACCAGTCTTGTCCCGATGTTGCGACTAAAACTTCATGATGCGTACCGTTTCTAGTACCGGTATTTATTTTTCAAGTGACAAATTTGGTACAGTTTAACTATCATGAAACATTTTCGAAAATTCTACCTTCAGAACTAATGAACCTTGCAACTCGTGTGAGGTCATGGAGTGTTGCTCTTTTGTACAGTGTTCTGTGCAGTGACATGTCTCGATCTCGGAAGCCATTCGAATGGGTCACATGTACGTATAGACGTTTTTGCGTAGAATGACCAATGCTATGACCTCCCAGAATTGTGATATTTCCTCCTGTGACTCTCTCTCTCTTTCCCTTTCTATATATATATATACACACACACACAGACCCAGGTCATGAAGAATAAGGTAAAGTAAAAGGTAAAATTTTCCCTTTGCTTAACTAATTAAGCACTATGCCATGAAAGCATATGGGGGAAGTGGATGTATAGGTCCAAATTTTCTTGACCTCGGTACTAGTTGGAGGTGATTGGCCAGCTTCACGCCCCGGTCGCTTTACCCCCGGGGAAAGGGCCCACGATACCTATTAGATAGGAGGTTGGGTGAATCCCAGTGCCGGTCTGGAAAACATGAAGTGAAAATTCTTGCCCCCAGCGGGAGTCGAACTCCGACCCCTCAGTCGTCCAGCCAGTAACCAATCGGGGCGTTGGGAAATGTTAAGGTAAGATACCTGGGAAGCTTCTTATGAAATTCGGTTGTGTAGGGCTTCCTGTTTTATGAGCTGCTTCACCACTGGCCAAATAAGGATTCACTAGAACGCGGGAGTTCTCACTGTCAGTAAAGCGCAGAATGACAGGCTCTCTGAAACGTCGGCCAGAGAGCCCATCATAACACGGCATTATTACACCAAATCGGGGGGGGGGGGAAATTAGCTGCAAACTACAATAAGAGCACAAAGACGTCAGTAAAACACGATGTTCTAACACTGCTCTGTGTTACAGGTGTCTTGGATCAGACGTCGCGACTGGCATATCCTGACGTCGGGTCTCTTCACCTACACGAACGACGAGAGGTTCCAGGTTGTGCACACGGAGGGAGGAGATGACTGGAATTTGCAGATCAAATACGTGCAGAAGCGTGATAACGGCACGTACGAGTGTCAGGTGAGTTACGTTCAGAATGCCATCATGCCTGCTACGTGACCTGCCTTCCCAAATCTTTACGCAGTCGCTCACACTGTAATTAACCCTTTCGACGCTGCGCCCGAGTTGTCTCGTGTAATAACACTGGGTGTTTTGATAGTTAATACGATAGGCTTGTTCCTCAGTCCTACAGACCCGTATACTATGTCTTCTTAACCGCTAATTAATTCTTAGGTCAAACGTTTTACGGAAAGTGATTCAATGGGGAAGGTTACTTAGTGATAGATATTTTCAATTAATGACTAATACGTAAGATTGTAGGCCAGGATGCTACGTGCTATTTCAAAACATTTTCTTTTAAGTCATCTGGAAAACCCCGGCCAGAATAGCGGGTAATCGAATCGAGATTCGATCCCGGTGCCTACCAATTACAAGTACATAACGGTGCCACTACATCGGCCTCTTTGGTATCGGTATATGGAAATATCTTCAGATAAACAGATCGAAACCTCTAACACACTAAATGCGCTCTTACAAGCCTTAAAGCATCAAGACTTTCATGCTATTCACTAGATATGACGGTTAAGAACACAAAATCTGGTTTCATCTGGTGATCCGAGATGATTTCTGAACTAAAAGTCTCATGCCATTCTTCAACCGAATCTTTTCAATTATTCATTTTAAGGTTTACTTAGCACACCATCAGTAGAACGTCATCGCCAGTTGTTATGACGATTGTGAATGTTTCATTGGAAGGGATGTGAAGGGAGCGGTCATGGCTTACACCGCAAGTCCTGAATCAGGACAGTTGGTATCTAAGCCGAGATTCGAAACGGGCGCCTCCCGTATGCAAATCAAATGCTTCAAATTCTATTTTCTGTTAGAGACATTACATGCCGTCACTGGATCAATCCTTCTGAACACCTTTTCATGTAGAAAAGGTTAAATTTTTGTATTCTCTGCTGTTTGGAGCGAGGGAAGGAGTTTTAACAGGCTCCTTTAATTGGCGATTAATCATGATGAAAAACTTCCACGTAGTTGCGCCGCTTATGTTCTTTACAACCAGATAATTTTAAAAGCCCTGGCCACAAAATCCCTCGTTCTGTCGGGTACCGGCCCCAGGGAAGCAAATATTACATCAGATGATACTGAACAAAGCGTACAATGGCGAAACAAAGATTGTTCTAAGGTACTTACGTTCTTATTATCCGGTCTAAAGAGTTGCTAATTAATTAACATTTACAAAGATCAAATCTTGGGAAAATTTGTATGGTTTCCCTCGTTATCACTCACTCAAAGAACTGAGCGCTTCTTGAGAAGCCGCCAATTATGCAGCTATCAAGAACTTCCCAGCATTTTATGGAACCCGAAAGTTCATTACCGTGTTCACAAGAGCCCTCCACTGGTCCTTATTCTGACCCAATTCAATCCAATCTAGACTATCCCATCCTATCTCTCTAAGATTTTAACATTTTCCACCCACCTACGTCTTAGTCTTCCCAGTGATCTCTTTCCTTCTGGCTTTCCCACCAGTATCCTATATGATTCATCTTCTCCCCTTTCGTGCTACATGCCCTCCTCATTTCATCCTCCATGACTTGATCATTCTAATTATACTTGGAGAAAAGTTCAAATTATGAAGCCCCTCCTTATGCACTTTTCAATGTTTGTTGTTCAAGATAATTCATACTTATGTCTCCGTCAGCCTGTTTTCTTTCTACTGACAATTTAATTTTTGTTTCAAGAAATTGTATTCTCTGTATGCCTGTTGTTTTCAATATTTGTGGCTGTAGATACCTGGTGGCACATATTCTCCGTGTTCTCTGTTTAACGTTTTTGCTGGAAAATACCCCGCCCCTTATGTCCTGTTTCCTCTTCATTCAATGTTTCTCTTTTTCAGATTCTTCCACTCACGCTCTTCGCTTTCCTCCACACTCGAAGCGTGAGTTTGGAAGTAATGCGAGACTTATACTTCCAATTTTTTGTCTTGTTTAATTTACCACAATTTAGCTTCTAATAAATCATTTAGGGGGTTGCAAACGATGACGGGAAGCAGAATATACGGAGTGTAACATTTATATTCTTAAATATTTTGAGGTCTATGTTATATCCTGCCACTAATTTGATGCAACTAACGTTTCCAGTTATATTTAATAGTTATAGTGGGAACTGTTTGTTATTATCAAGTAAAGTATCAAATAAATTTCATGGATTTCCTGCTTCTGATGTTAACTTACGCCGCTACGAGTCACTTAACTCTGAAACTTCAGTTTCTGGATGCATTCTGCTCGAGAGAGCAACAAAGCTTAAGTAAATGAGGCCATGGATTCATCGCTCGCGTAACCACAGGTCACAGACGCTAGCAGACTTGTTGATCGTACAAAGAGGAAGGAAGTAGAGAGGAAATCGAGACTTAACTCATGGAGTGTGTAATTCAGTTTACTGTAACTGATTATCTCAACAACTTGTCACAGAGACGAATCTGAAATCAAAGTGAAATCAGTGTGCGTGAAATATGAAGGGTTTCAGTGGGGGTTTCAAATGTCCAGGAAGGAATTAAAGTTTGTGGATGAAGCATAAATTTGAGAGAGTGCTAGAGGAGTGTGGGCAAATGCAGAGAATGTGGCAGTTGGGAGGAGGGATGTGTCAAGGTCAAACAGGAGTTCAGAAGACGAAAGAGAGAAAGTAAATGTAAAGACATGGAGAGGACGAGTAGATCACACGGATTTTCTCCATAATAGATGGAAGACAATCAGAAATAGAATTCAGTAGAATGCCTTATTAAATAACATTATGGAGCAGAATTATCGAGAACCTGACAGTCGATCGGAAAGTGAGAATTCGGGCGGCATTTTATGGAACCCGACAGTTTATTGCGGTGTTCACAAGAATCTGCCACTGGACTCTGTTTTGAGCTAGGTTAACTCATCCACATTTTGATATCCTAATTTTAAGATGTATTTTAATATCATCTTCCTATTTATGATTGTATCTTCCAAAGAGTCATTATCCTTCATTTTTCTAGCTGAAATCCTTTGCATATTTCCATGACTCGCATGGACGCTGCGTGCTACACGACATACGTACATGTCAGTGAATGTGGGACGTTAAAATCAGTCAATGAGGATGAGATTTACAAATTATGAAATAACTCAGTGAGGAATTTTCGATGTCATTTTTAGGTTCAAATATTCTCGTGAGTGTTTTTATTCAAACGTCTTCCTATGTGTAGAATGATCAAGTTTCACACTCAGCTTGTAGGCACGGAATACATGAGTGAGGGATTTGAAACTGCGCTGGAATGTGGCGGACGGATAGTTCCTGATACAAATGAGGGAGTTTGAGATAAGGCTGAATTATGAGAAACAGTTCCGTAACGAACTGCAGTCGCTGTCTGGTTTGGAGAATATGTAGACGGATAATAACATGCATACAGAGAACTGGTTTGATTTAAGCTTGCATTTATTTATGTATTTATTGGCGGCTTATTTAATGACAGTTTTATTAACTCAGAATTTATAGAATCGAATAATTAGATGTTTATTAATATGGAAGGAAGTGGTTGTAGCCTATTTCGATCTAATATCTTGGCATTCGCTTTGAAGCATTACTGTTCTTTTTTACTGCTAGTGGGGTGGGACTAAATCCCTTGTACTGCGGCCACTTCTGGCCTATTGTACCAGCCCCAGATGATAGGTGAGGGTGATTGTGGAGCAGTTGGTGGAATGAAGATTGGCAGGGGAAACCGAAGTAGTCGGATGAAACCTGCCCCAGCGCCACTTTGTCCACCACAAATACCACTTCACCAGACCCGGGATCGAACCAGGGCCGCCGCGGTGGAAAGCCAGCGAATAACCGCTTGAGCTATGGCGCGGCCCGTCTCACAGTGTAAGTACGGGCGGTGTGTGCAGGGTGCTGCCAACTAATGGAAAGACAGCCTTACTTTCATTGTGAGATATATTCCTTACCACAACCCACTTCCGCTCCAACCACCCTGAAGATGGAAACTCTAATGTATACGTACACCGAAACGTTCATGTAATTTTAATGTTCGGACAGCTAAATCCAGACACTCGAAATCATGTTTCATACAGAGACAGCGAAAATGTAATGACGAGGCAATTTGCGGTGCGACTTACTGTATGCAAATGGCGGTTCCTTCGAAAATTGGGCCCCAATATCTTCAGAGTTGATCCCAGCTAAAGGCCAGCAGTGGGCCGTGAATATTCTGCGACACGGCCCGTCCAGCCGAACGAGTTGGGGAAAGCAGGGCAAATTGAAATGTTAAGCATACAAACACATTCACTTTTATTACTAACAAACAACACGTCACGAAGGCATTAAGCGACGTGGAGGTAAATCCGTGGATACCGCAGGCGTCTAAATTTTACGGACATTAATGACAAGCTTCACGTTCAGGTTGCTTTTACACCAGGAATGGGTATGTAATAAGGGGCTTGGGTGAGCCCAAAAGAAATATAGACATAATGCAGAAGAGAGAAATCCTGCATGTTCTTGGAATCGAATCCCGTGCGTCTACGCCACAGCTTACAATTTTACAGTAGAAACAGAGATTAGAAAGTATGCAGAAGGAATTACTCGTGAAGGGGGAATTACCCTGACATTTGCCGAGCCAGACTCATGAAAACAGCGCGAAGTTCCAGTCGGCACGGCGTATAACACGACCAAGATTCGAACCGGGTACTGCATGCAGAATAAAAGAGGATAGAGCATCACCGCTGCACGAGTTTGACAATTCCCATGTCTTGAGTAGCTTTCCTTTGTATTCGTTATGTTACGCGTTCTTTTGAAAAGATATGCTGCGCTTTCGAGTTACAGAAACGTAAACATACCAATTAACTTCTGAGAAGAGGAAGTTTAAGAAAAAAAAGTTTCTATAATTACGCTTTCGGGACACGATTGAAGTTTTGAACTGTCCGTCGACGGTTTTCACAAAAACCGGAAATACAAATAAGGAAGCAGGACCTGCTGAGATGTTTTACAAAGATTCTGCATTCTTC